ACTTTACAATGTCTACGTGTATCGTACTTTGCATTGTCTACGTGTATCGTACTTTGCATTGTCTACGTGTATCGTACTTTACATTGTCTACGTGTATCGTACTTTGCAATGTCTACGTGTATCGTACTTTGCATTGTCTACGTGTATCGTACTTTGTATTGTCAACGTGTATCGTACTTTGCATTGTCTACGTGCATCGTACCTTACATTGTCTACGTGTATTAAGAAAATAGTAAGATATTATTGATACATCGTATATATAAACATATATATATCTTTAAAATTATTATAACATTATAACATAAACAATAATATATGTTATTATCACATCATGCTTTCCTAAGATATGAGAGATGCTATATATTTCAATATAACTTATTTTATTTAACACACTTTATACACAAACGAATATAAAACCAATCACGAGTCAAATACTATAGGAAACGCACACTGTAGTGATTTTCTGTTGTAATTTCCCGTGAGCAATATCGTATGTTGTCATCATCATATTTGTATATAAATCGAAATCCAGACAATCTACTTAGACACCTTTAGACATTGCATGTACATGTGTAAATCACTGTGTTTAGACGACAGCGTTATCTGTCAGTAATCTAACGTAGTGCTCGGACGAACTTGTTATCTCTCCCAGTAATCTAACTTGATTATATATATATAAATTAACCTGCATGGCGTCAATGCAATACCATTCACTATTATTGGATCCCCAAATCAATAAGTAAGTGTCAACATTCACTTTACATCAAAGTAGAAGTTGTATTGTAACAACCAATAAGCTGAGAAAGCTTGGCATTACGCATTGCAATCATTCCAGGCCGTTAATAGCAGTATTGTGTTACGCCAGAAAATCAATGAAATATATTAGAGTTTTTGTAGATCTGTTGACAGACAACCAATCACAGCGGTATGTGATACATTGATGGTATCGATTAAAATGATATCCCGAAGTTACAGGAATGTATTTGAAAATCGATGACTACGCCCTCATCTGCACTGTCATCGACTCGGCATACATCACGTATTAGATAATTAGCCCTATAAATATGATTATCTATTCATAGAATCAAATACATGGTTACACCGGTATGACTACCATCAAAGCAATCAGAGTATTTTGTTTTTATGTGCTGACCACCATAATGTAAATAAAGGCCATACTGCTCACATCGTTATTGATTCCGCTATGCTACACGTTTCTATTATTTAACGCAATTACGACTACCCTGTAACAATGTGTTTAATTGCTTATAAATTGTTGAACAGATTGAAAAGCTGACATGCAGATTCCAAGCCATAACTAGAAGCTATGCTAAATGTCGTTGCTTGAGTTACTTCGATATTGTGTTGAATTGAAAGGTGGGATGTTGGTCTATAACACTTTCCGAAAGGAGATGCTGAATAGTTCGAGTTACTGACATCGAGTTACGTCCATATTTCAGAAATCACGCCCACTTTTGCAAAATCACGCCCAAATTGTAACTTGATGTCCAACTAAACATTAACAAAACTTCGAGCTACCGGCGACATATGTTTTTTATTTCCATTGAACGTCCACATTTAGTAACTCGAACTTTAATTAAGAGGTAACCGAACCGTAACATTTTTTATTTGTTTAACGTTCAAATTTAGTAACAGTAGTATTAACAGTTAACGGAACTTTGAACCTTGGGAAATATACACCGTTAAACGAAACACAAATTTTACGTAAATGTGAATATGAATTGAAATAACGGCAAAAAATATACATGTATATGGTGTCGCAATCTTATTACGTAGCTCACATTTGAAAAAAAAAACTTGAAGAAATTATTGCAGGTATTCTCTTCGACGTTTGTGATGCATCAACACAGCAACGCCATTTGAAATACACTGTAGCAGAGTGGTCCACAGTAAACATCATTTGACACGTTGAATACTCTGTGTGTACTTTAACCTAGCAATACAAGCATGTCCTGAATTCGTGAATCGTGATCTAAGTGATGTGATGGTTTGTAAAAAGTTCGTTTAAAAAAACAATAATTTTTTACCGAGTCATATTTTACATTACCACGCGTAACACTCTTGGTATATATTTGCATAATTGCCTATGAAATTAGCAAGGCGCTTTGAAACAATGGTTGCACTGAAAATAATGAGAAACCGACTTCTATACTGGGAAGGGGCTTTGTTACCTATTAACTAACCCAAATGAGCAATATGATTTGACAGGCTGAATGCCGACACGAAGCGTGAAACCATACATCTGTCCGCATTATCAGATAAAGGTTTTCAATTAGGAGTGTCACACATAGTCTAATATCTTGCGTTTTTCATCAGAATGGAACGTTCAATATACCACCCGCCTCTAGTCTGCTTACTCCATTAGTTTACGAACAGTTATACAGAAAGCACGGTTATACAGAAAGCACGGCACAGTTCAGCACAGTTGGAGACGTGGCCTATTCAGAATTTGTCAAGAACCAATCACAAGACTAGTCTTGTTATGAAAACAGAACAGTAGGGCAGTGTAAATAAACATAATTCGTTCAGGATGAAACAAATTATATAAACATATTTCAAATGTTTTTTTTACTTCCATGTAGTTTACGCGAGTGTGTCAATATCGGCTAGCCCTTGAAAGCTCTCCTTTGCGCTCTCGCTGCAGATGATGGTCAAGCAAAAAGTGTTTTTAGCCAATGGATACGTCGCAAACTAGGGCATTCTCATTTACGTCCGAGCACCAATGTATCTCCCGAGAGTTCAGTAGACAAGTAACTGCAGGACATTTGATATTTCAATTAATATACAAATGTTTCAAACCGATTAAGAGAAAACATGTACGTTCTTATGTTATTTATGAAAGCGATTCTGAGTTAAAACCGACTGATTGCGTTTACGATTGTTTTAATTTTGAAATAGAAACCTTATCAATGGATTATTTATTTACACAGAATACTATGAAAAGCATCACATCGAGTGCAATTCTTTTTTTCCACAGTACAGCGGAAAACGTAATGTGAGCTAATACGTATCACTGACTTTTGATTATGTCTTAGATACAATAGTGCCACATTTATGAATATTTTGACAACTTAACTACTCTATTCAGTAATGCACCTGTTTCGAGAATACTTGATTGCCACATTTATAAATTTGAAATGCTATTAAATTCCAAGACGTGTTTACAATATATATATATATATATATATATATATATATATATATATATATATATATCAATCCGCGCGTCCAAATTTTCATGTCAAGAGTTATTTGTGGTTTTAACGCTTTATATGAGCGTATGTATGTAAACGCAAAACAGTTGTATGTATGCGATATTTCCATGTTGGCGGTGAATATCCTCTAAATGATGTGCTTGATAAGGTTTTGCGTGCTTGACTGGGAAGAATTTACGTGTTATATGATTTGTTTAGCATAGAATAACGTTGTCAGTATTGAAGAAAATGTTCAGCTATTTCAAAGGTGTGTCTTAGTTTTGCCATAGAAATACTCTTTGCAACCCATATTGTTTAAAGTCGTGCCAAGGCACTGGTTGCCATTCCAATTCTGTTCGCTGGAAACATCTTCTGGAATTGTTGATCCAAGATATTTGAAGCTGTGTACTTGTTCGAGTTGTTCACCATTTACCTTTGCTGATATTGTTTGGGTATTCTTATTATTTGTAACCATTGTGACCATTGTTTTACTCTTTTCAGCACTGATTTCCATACCGTAACTTCTTGAAGTCTTGTCTAACCTTTCTGTTAGATCTTCAAGATCTTTGGCATCATCTGCTATTAGGTCAATATCATCTGCAAAGCGCAAGTTGTTGATAACCAATCCTTCAATTGTTGCACCTCCGTGGAACCCTTCAAGTGCATCCAAGAATATTTCCATGGCAAACAAGATTAACCTAATGAGAGCAGTAGTAACGTCTGTGATGCTCTACGGTTGCGAAAGCTGGACTATGACAACGAAAATAACTAAGAAACTGAATGCATTCAAAATGAACTATTATAGAAGACTCCTTGGTATCACATGGCAACAAAAAATCGGAACGAAGAGGTACCGATGAAACTAAAAGACCAGCTAAAAGAAGGACAAAAAATAGAGCATCTAATTGAAACAATTAAGAAAAGAAAATTGCAATTCGTTGGACACCAATCGAGGAAAAACAGTCTAACAAAACGTATTACGCAAGGGAATGTTGAAGGATACAGAAACAGAGGACGACCAAGAAGAGAATGGGAAGATGACATCAAAGAATGGACAGAGAATGGAGAGCAGCTTTACCATCTTGCTGATGACAGAAAGGGCTGGAGGAGGCCTCCTGAAGCTATGGACTAAAGAGAGTCTTAGTTTTGAACGTTTTCACAATTAGTATAAATGATAAAAATGGGCAAACTAATGCGTGTAGTTTGAACTCCTGACATATCAACTGTGTGTCTTATAATGCATCTTTAATATTATTATAACAATATCGCAGACTGAGACAATTCTATAATATCTTAAGATATGAGAGGTGGTACACATTTCACTTACACACAGACTGATATAAAATCAAACATAATCCAAATATATGAAGACAACTCACACTGTGTATTGTATTATAGTAGTTTGATATTGTATGTATCCGTCAGCATCACTGTAGATTTTCCTATACTTGTTTACAGTTCGAATATCAGGAAATCTACTTAATATACAACATACAACATGGCATGTACAAGTGCAAATCACTGTGTTTAGACGACAGCGTTATCTGTCAGTAATAACTTAGTGCTCAGACAGACGAACTTGTTATCTCTCTCAGTAATCTAACTTGATTATATATATACATTAAGTTAACCTGCATGGCGTCAATGCAATATCACTCACTATTATTGGATCCGCCAATCAATAAGTAAGTGTCAAAATTCACTTTACATCAAAGTAGAAATTTGATGACTTAATAAGCTAAGAAATCTTATCATTGCGCATTGAAACCATTCCAGGCGGTTCATTGCTGAATAATGAAACCAGATAATCAATAAAATATATTGAGCGTTCAGTTGATGCGTTGGTAGATAACAATCACAGTGACACGTGGTACATTGTCGAACACACTCTTAGAATTTTATAACTTGGGAAAGATGTCGCTAAGTTACAGGATTTTATTTAAACATTGAAAGCAACTACGGCGTCAACCGCGCTGCCACCGACTTGAGTATACGTCGCGTATTAGCATATGAATACAGAATATATCTCCGTCTTCTCCCCAATCTTGTGATATCACTTTATATTTACAGTTGCCTGACAATCTAAACTGAGATTCATTTGCATAATAATAATAATTCATAAACCAAGTTATCACAGTCTATTAATAGACATTCTCATTTAATTATCGGTTATCAACATAAATTGTAGCGATTGTTGTCACGTGATAATGAGGTGGACATTTAAACCGTGACAGATAAATATAAAACGCACGTTTGACACTGTCGTAAATGTATGGCCTTTGAGAACATAGCAAGCCACCGGCATTGTTAGAAGATTTTTGTAGTGTCACAATGCTTTATTATTCCAAGCTCGCTAAAGTTCAAATGAGATGTGATTGAAAGGATAGAAGAGGTAGGATGGGATAGGATGGAATGGAGTGCATGGATTGGCATGTGACGGATTCGGTGGACTGGGATGGGAGAGGGTTATTATGGGATAGGTGAAAAGGGCATGGGATGAGATAGGTGGAATGAGATGGGACGGGTGGGGTGTGTGGTTTTGGGTAGGATGGTTATGGGATAGAATGAGATAGAATAAAGGTGGGGAGGAATGGGATGGAATATGATGAATATTATGGGGAATTGGGATAAAAAAAGGGTACATCCGCCCTAAAAAGGCTTTGATCACTTTCTGGTTATGCGTTCTACTGGGGTTCTCTCATATATTTGAAAAAATAAGTATTTTTTCTCGAATATATGTATTTGAACCTCCAATAACAGAGCCAAGCAGAGTGAATAAGTGAATAAATGAATGGATAAAATTAATTATCCATTATATGTCAGTAGTTATATTCTATATATGTGATCTGGAGTTCAATCAATCAAAAAAAATGTCAATGAACCCATAATGAAAAGGACAATGCATTATGCTATGCCATTAAATAATCATGATAAATGAAATCTCAAGATTGATCACAACGTTAACTCGTCATTCTAGTAATGGTAACTGCAAATATTGTTACTATAGTGATGAATTGCAATATAAAGTCGTACATTAGCAATAATGATGAAACTAGATTAATGGGGAAGACGTCGATAGCTGATTCTAGTTTTACGTTCAGTATGTTATACGCGCGTGTGCACTTCCTATTATGTAGATGGTGTATGTTTGTACATATGTAGCATGTATTATAAGGTTATTACGAGGATACCTCAAAGTATGCACGAAGGACAGTACAGCGAAAGTATCGACCGACGTTTTGTTTTTATTATTGGAGGGCGCTTACGCGCGTAATCATTCCATGTTTGGAATTCGCATTTCATTATATGGTAGGATGAAAATACCCTGTAAAATACCGCAAAATAACGGCACGCTGTAATTTTATGGCGTTTTGGTGACAGATGTATAATAATAATTAATACTCTTATTTGAGTGGGTAACATTGGACTTGGTCATATTTCTCAGCGGTTGAAAATAAGTCTATCCAGACATCTGCTTTCATTAGATAGCGTTTTACCCACGCACACGCAAGAACTTAACTTAATACGCCTGGTTTGCGAAGTAATTATGCGTGTTGCCCAGGATGGAATTCCTCAAGTAGGCATGGACATATTTGTAACTGTCCTGAAAAGAGAAGTTGTGATACAAATATAATACTATGAAATGATTAATTTTCACTGGGCTTAAATTTCGCTGATTCAATATTTCAGGCATATTCATTGGGTTTTAAATTCACAATGTTATCATTTAGATAATGTGTACTGTGCTAAATTATACATAAATTATACATAAATTTTACAAATTTTTATCGCATTTTCCAGTTAGCGAAATAAGCAAAATTAAAACTCAGTGAACAACTAACCCTTCTACAGTACATAGACTGTAACATTTATCATGCTAAATTTTTCTTCACATGTATGCTGTTCAAAGTGAGCGCCAGTAGTCATAGCAACGCGTTGTGTTCAACGTGACTCCCAAACGGCGTATAGGACGCGATGTTTGTTTGAATAAGGAAAGTAGAACACAGAATACAGGTGCAGTCAACGAGTAAATTTTAAAAAATGTTTGGTATTTATGTTTGATCAACAGTAACTTAATTTATGAACATTATTAAGGCTTATTTAATTTGGAGGGGAGAGGTCAATCTGTTCGCAACTCCCCTTCCTCTCAACCAAATTAAATTGCCTTCCCACTGTTTTTGCTACCACTGCCATTTCCCCCACTCAGTTTTTGTTCCCCGCTGCCTTCTCCCCACTCGGTTTTGCTCCCACTGTCCTTTCCCCACTCAGTTTTTATTCCCC